ATATGAATTATCTATGAATATTATCTTAGACAGAGAATCAATCTTTACAGAGAAGTTCTGATCTAATCTGATAACTATACTGAAGATCTTATAAGATCTAAGCACAGCTTTTTATTAATAGATAGATAATCTGATAGAATATCTGATAAGTATATTAAAACAGTATCTGTGATACTTTATCAATTATAATTAGAATAATTGAGTGTATTAATTATCACTTATAAAGTTTATATACAACAACTTAAAGTATATCAGTATAGATAAAACTCTCTTTAAAATACTCACTAAGACTCATCTGTAGATAATCTTGATAAACTTATAAAAGTATACTATAGAGTGTGATATTATCTGTGAATAAGCTGAGAGAATTCAGAATATCTGAGAGAAAGTCTGTGAATTCTTGAGAAAGACTCAAGAGTATCAGAAGAGATACTATAACTTTAAGTATATTATAAAAAGTTTCAAGAAAGATGATAGAGTCTGACTAAGTCTGAAAAATATCATTATATAGAGATCTAGTAAGAAGCTGAATCTCTTGTAGATAGAGTCTTATAAGATTATAAAGAAAATTAGTTTGTAGTTTTATAGATTGAAACTGTTATCTAAGTTACAGATATACAATGTTTTTCATATCTCTTTACTCTATAAATATAAGAAATTCTTAGAAGAGAACTCTGTAACTTATCACTCTATTTATAAAATACTAGAGAGTGAAAGAGAATATCAGATCAAAGAAATTATTAACTTAAAGAAGTAAGATTATGAGCTCTAATTTAAGATTCAGTGATAAGAGTATTCTGATAAAGTAAATAAGTTTATTTGAGAATTATCTGAGCAGATAAGATATCTGTGAAAGCTGAGATATAACTTTTATACTGTGAATTCTGATAAGTCAGAATAATATAATCTTCACTAAGAATCTAATTATTATAAAGATATTAACACTGTCATTTATAAACTCTAGTCTATAAGATAATAAATTTCTACTGAGATGAACAGTTCACAGTGTATATAAAGAGAAGAAGAAATTATGTTATTATTAAAGCTCAAAATAAAGAAAAATAAAAATAGAACTGTGAATACAATTTAGAGATTAATAAAGAAAAAATAAAGAAAACTTATACTTATATTTTTAATATCTGTAACACTTAATTCTCTTATAACTATCAATTCTTCTCTTTAAAAAAGTAGAGAGTATTATATCTGTAGTACAGATAATTATTATATTTAATATAAAGACTGTTAGAAATGCATAGACTTTACAAGAGCTGAATATCAGAGTGTATACAGTTATAGCAGAGTCTTGAGAGCTGATTATCTATGTATGTAATCAGATATCTCTTACAAAGCTGTGTTCACTTCTTCAGTTATACTGAAGTATTCAGCTCAGAAATAATTAAGATATGAAGAGAGAAACTAGAGCTCATCTATTCAGATTAACTTCTATTATAAATTCATAGCATTTATATTATCTTAATTATTTAAATTTTACAGATATCTGAAAACTTATCTCTTATTAATAATGAGATTGCAGAAATGCACTACAGTGTGAGAACTGTTAATAGAGAATCTAGATATATTTATATATATTTAATCAGAGATTATACAGATAGAAAGAGAGTGATTGTAAATTTACAGAGCTGTAGAGAGTTATTATTATTATTATTATTCTTTCATTATACTTATATACAAGTAGAGCTTATGATGAGTTCTTATGTGATGTTAAATACAGATCAAGTGTTAATTATACAGAAGAAAATACAGGTGTTGAGATCACATCAAGATAACAAGAACATAGAAAAATACAAAGAAGTGATAATTAGATACATGTGATAATAACTTCTCAGCTCAGAAACATAGAGCAATTCATTGAAGTGATTTGTACACCTCTGTATTTATTAGAAACCTGAGGTGCTTGAGTTCCGGATTTAATGTATTCTCTATGGGTTTCGAACCCACGCGCCTTGATTTCCCACGCCAAGGCTCTACCAGGTGGCCGCATTAATCATTTGGTCACTGAGACAGCTGTAGAGAGTACTGACAGCACTGAGAGCTTTGTAGAAACTATTAGCTAGAGTCTGTAAGAAATTACTTACAGAGAGACTTATAGTAAAGAGTAAGATTATGCTACTGAGAGTCAGAAACTGATCTGAAAGAAACACAGAGTTAACTACTAATCTGAAGATTAAGTGTGATAATAGAGCTGAAAGAGATAAAGACAATATTATAGAAAATAGTATTTCTGCTTCATCAGCTGATAAAAAGTAATTAGAGAAGTTACAGAAACACTTATAAGAAGCTCAGTAGTAGTCAGACATTATTTATAAAGATATTAAAATTGAAAAAATTTTTATTCTTAAGAAGTTCTTGAATTAATATATAAATATTGTTAGAAACACTCTCTCTCTATTATCTAGATGAAAATACTACACAGATAAATGAGAATACTTACAGTTATAAGAATAAAAGCTGTTATAGAAAAAGAGAAAATAAGATGAGATTCTGCAGACAGGTCTGAGATATTTATACTACTTTAGAGAGATTTATTTATACTATAAGTGATTCTGTAAAATAGTCAGATCACTCTAGTAAATAAAGAGTGATTATAAATTACAGATCTGAATCTTTCTATATAACTATAAAGAGTAATTATAGATTATAAATATCTTGATTCTACAATTCTACAGAGTTAATAAAGAAATGAAAAATTCCTTACAACTCTACAGTGTTAAAGAATGATGATTTATAAGAATAAGTAAAAGATTAACTTGTAAATACATCTCTTTAATGAGAGTAATTTTATAGAAAGTAATTTATCTGTGAGATGAATCTGTGTAATAATTATATAAGAATCTCACAGAAATAATTGAAGATTAACTAAAACTCTTCTATATGAAAGATGTGAGATAAATCTGTATAATAGTCAGAGAAAGATCTGCAGATTATAAAGAATCTTATAGAATAAGAAACTGAGTGACAGACTCTTTTCTCTTTATAATAATAAGAGATTTTTTCTCACTGAGATTTTTTATAAATATGAAGAGTTTTTAGTGAGTATCACTGCAGTGCTGAGTCTGATTCTATAAAATCACTCAGTGAAAGACTTCACAGATGAAATCTTAGAGAGAGAAGAGTATATAAGAAATTCTGCTTCTTATGAATTCTTTATCTCTATTTCTATCTCTTATATAATTAATAGAGTTAGCAGCTCTTGACTACATATAATAATATAGACTGAAGTTCATAACTACTATTTATAACTTAGCTTAAATACTATTATATATTTAATCTCTATATTTTATCTTTCTACTGTGAATACTTCTAGTAGTTAACAGTATATATTATACCAAGCTGCAAACACCTGAATAATTGCCTGTAAGTACTTATTCTTACTCATTCATTTATTTCACTCAGCTTATCAATCAATCAAAGTATGTATAACTAGACTGACCGTGTGACCGTGTCTGGGACCAGGACCAGATTTTTTAATAGTTTCATTACCAATTCGACTGATCCCATTACACGGTTTTAACATTAGATAGTAGTCTCATACTGTCCCAGTGAGACTTACTGTCTACTCTTGTCACATTTTTCAAATGAGACCATGATTTTCACTTCTCAATTTAAATTATTTTTATTGCTTTAAATGACTTTAAATCTCATTTGAGCATTATCAAAAAGTGTTACTTTTTAAAAAATTAAAAATAGTCTAAAAAAACCTTAAAATGTCTAAAAATAGTAACTTTATGCTAAGAATGGGACTAAATGAGATCAAATGAAATCACTTTCTCATTTTTTTCAAGTCATGATTTCATTTTAAGATCTGATATATAGTCACTTTACATGTTTTTTTGATAGCCAGTCCCAGCGGGATTCACGCCAAGAAATGTATAGAATCAGATCAAATGAAATCAAACGTGAAATTCATGATCCCGGCGGCCAGTCTATGTATAACTGATTTATAATCAATTAAATAAATAGAAAAATTCATATAGAATATAAAGAGATATTTTACAGAATTTTAAAATATATTAAGATAAAAATATTTAAAGTATTAAATTAATTTTAAATTAGTTTTAAATTAATTCTGAATTAATTGATAATTAATTACAGTAATAAAAATAAATTCAATCTGTATATTTAAGTAATTAATAATTGATTGAAAATCAGTTGATAATCAATTCAGTGTAAATTATATAAATACTTACTTTATTATTAAATTTAAGAATAATTTCAGTATTAAATTAATTATTAATAAAATTAGTAAAGTCTTCTTCATATATAAAAGTTATAATAAGAGAAGAATTATTTTATAATTAATTAAAAATTGTTTTACAATTAATTAAGAATTGATTATAGAATTGATAGTAAATAATTAAGTAATTTCAAATTATAAGAAAAGATATATTGAGTGAGATTAGATAGTAACACAGGTCACATTTACAAGATCAGCTTACATAATGAGATTAAGTAATGCACTTAGCAAGGTTAAGTTTTCTACTTTCTATCTTTTCTTATAACTGAAATTGAGCAACCTGAATTGTAATATAGTTATAATAATAACTTAGCTGTGTAGAGAAACACTATCATCTTCATCATATCTTTTCCCGTGAGAGGTAATTATCTCAGTGAGCTCAGACTCTCTGACTCAGTTTAAGTGAGTTGCAGTATTATTAATCTGACATGATACTAATCTACTTTTAATACAAGTTATATACTTAGAGTAATTCTTATCAGAGAGTCTGAAAAGAAAAGATTTCATCTTCAATGAAGATATCTGAGATTTATAAGAATTTTTCAGATTCTTTAACTTTGACTTTTTATTACTATATACTTACACATCTTTAAGATGTGAAAATTACCTTAGCTTATAGTTAAAGAGAAGAAAAATAGAAATATTTCTTTAATATTTTAAAAAAATCTATATTTAAAATAGATGTACACTCTTAAAAATGATTATATTTTTTAATCTCAGAATTTCTGAGAGCTTTTTTTTATATGAGAAATTGAATTAAAATTTCTGTGTTTAAAAATATACTAGTTAACTTTGAGATAATACTTCTATTCTAAGAACTTGAGATATGAATATAAAAATCAGATACAACATCAGAATATTATTATTCTAAGATTTCAAGATAATACAGAAATGATGAATTTATGAAGTTAAGTTGAAATTCTCTTTTATACTCAGAGTACTGAGTAAATTATTTCTGTGTTATTAATAATTAGAAACTATTTCTTCTCAGATATTTTATAAGATATTATCACTCACATGATCTGATTTTACTATTTGAGTTAGCTTATTGCTTATTTGAGGTTAGCTCATGATATAATCATCAATTCAGTGTTAAAACAGTAATGAATATCTGGAGAAGTGTCTGAGCTTGCTGAGATAAGAAGTTGACAAGCCAGGCAGAACCAAAAGTCACGTGGGAAGATGAGGAATAAAAGTAGCTGTAACGGATGAAAATCTTGCAAGATCTGAGAATAAATGAGGGAAGAGATGGGGAAAATCTGCAAGACATGCTGAGAAAGATGGAGAGCTTCCTTCACATTCTCCCAGCGATCTTTAGAGACCCAGCCATCCTGCTCAACTCCCTGTCTGACAGCCAGATTCTCAAAATGCCGGAGGTGTGATCTGAGTTTCTCCCTCAGCTCACCATCACTGAACATCCTGTCAAAAATCTCCCTCAATATCAATATTGCCCCGTTAGGCACATGTGATTGGCCGAAATTAGCGCCGGGGCTGTATGGTGTCTGGAATACCACTCAGTCGTACCCCGCTATCCTGTAAGGGTTTCGATGTGAAATGGCAAATGCTGGGGTTCATTTGAGGGGTGGGCCTGGAGTGGAGACAATGAAGGGAAGATGAACGCGACATATGGCGGACTCAACATCCCCCCACCCTGGAGCCCTCCAGCTCCCAAACACGCAGATATCTTTCTATCCCGTTTGCGCCACTTTTGAGTTGGACAGGAGAAACAGGGATTACTATCTAGGTGGCCCGGAACATCTGCTATTTGGGGAATCACCAATTCGACACAACGATTTCATAGTTTTATTCGAGACAGGTTTATCAAATCTGTTTAACAGAAGCCCTTTCTCCGTATGTATCTGAGCATGACTACTTCTTCCTTGGCTTTTTGAATTGCTTGGGTGGCTGCTCAGGCACCTGAGTGAAGGAGGTAGATGGGGCGATATCTGCTGAACCGATGAAGCTTGATTGGCGGTCTTCATCCTCAAAGGATTCAGCATTTGACCGCTGAGAGAACTGAAGTTCGGTCTGGGAGACATCAAGATCCAGTTCAGAGGATATCTGATCAATTGCTGAGTGTATTCTTTTCAAATGGGTTGGTATCCATATATCGTAGATGTTCCTGGTGAATTTGTATGCCGTCCATCTCTCCTTGCCATCTTGTTCTGTGAAATCAAACTTGCGAATCGGGCGGCGGTAGAAGGTAGTCTGCTTTTCTTTGACTAGGGCATAGTGGCCGTAGATCCTCACTGTAGTATGATCATGCGAGATTGAGAAAGCAAGGATTTCCCGGTGAAGCTCCTGTTCACGCTTCACAGCCCTATAAAGCTCAATAACACCTCTCACCGCTACGGTCATGCTGTGGGCGTTTTGCCGGTCCGCTACCTCAAGCGCAACCTCACCACATTTTACCTCGCATGCCAGAAACGGAAAATACATGGTGTCCGTGGCCATAAGTAAGGAAGTATGAGTCCAACTGCCTATAAAAGGCTGGAGCTTTTCAAGTTGGCCATGTGTGAATGCAGACTGCCTGAATCCCACGCAATAATCGGGCTGCGGACAGGGACCGTAAAATGGAATGCATTTGCTCCAGGCCTCATTGAAACCCTCAATCAAGATGTCGAGGTTGGTAGCCCCATAAAGAGCCAGAGTCTCCGCGGAAGGAACAATTAACTGTCCAATATCCATAATGACCTTGGCTTCGTTCCTAAGACGTACCATCTCGCAAGTTTTTGTGAATAGATCATCCTGGAATCTCGAATCAGTGGGGACAAGTTGCTCAGTGTCAAGTAGGGACTGGTATAGCAGTATGCTCTCATCCGTGATGCCTGTATCAGAGTCACGCATAAAACTTCCCTTTGTTCTTAGCAATATCTCGTAGCGGCGATGTTTATACGGCGCACTCTTTTCCTCTCTTGGCTTCTCATCACTTGGCGTCGCCGCACTCGATTCTGATCCTTTGCGGCGGAGAGAAGAGGTAGATTTCTTTCTAGCAAGCAGAGAATTCATACTGCTGCCTTGCTTGGAATCTTTCCTGGGCCAATGTCCTGTCTGAATCCAATAACGGATAGGACTAATCTCGATCCCGCTGACGTTGCTCGTCGCCTCCTGGCTAGGTATGTTCTTAACAGTGGAGCTTAAACGGGATGTTCGCGGCCGCTTTTGGAAGAGATTTCCTGGATTTTGAAGTCGATCTTTGGCTTCTTGTGGCCGTTTCCGTTTTTGGTTTCCGTCTTGCGGAATGGTTTGTACCTTTTGGGGGGACTTAATTGGAAGGTTGCTTGCTAAAGAGGGGGATGGCTGTCTTTGTTCAGTGCTCCTGTCCTTGGATACAGCTCGCACTTGTAATTGTTCCAGACGCGCGCTTTTGCGAACCACTTTCTGCACTTGGTATTTCTTGATTCCTTGTGGCCGCTTCTCTATTGAGGGTTAGTCAAAGTAGGGAATAAATAAGTGTGAACAGCCCACCTTGACTTTGTCGCACTGAAGGTTGCGGCCCAACCTTTCTGACGTTTGGCTTTCGACGCGGTGCCATGTCGATTGGAAGGAAGAGGGGTATTGAAGGGTAGTTTTCTGTTACCGCTGGGCCTGGAATGCAATGGGAGGGATGGAGCATTGTCTGATAAAATATAAAATATTGACAAGGGGAGGGCCGCAAAAGGTCTTGGCACAACCCATGGCGCTAATTAAGGTAACTCCAACGATAAACGATTCTAATTAGAAATTTCGGGCCCTTGTAACTTAGACCCTTAGGTTTTTTCTAAACTATTTTGGCATATGATTGTTCTCATTCGGTATACATGCGGGCTATACGGAGTAGTCGTGGCGGAGTGGTTACATGTATTTGGCAAGAATCTACAACCCGCAAATCGAGATATTTACCACCAACCATTTGACTGCGATTTTGGCTCTCTGTACTCCGTAGAAAAATGAGGGTAATTGAGGGCCAATCGTTGGCTGTGCACAGGAACTCCCGAAACAACACTCCTGTCGCTCTTTTCAAACGCCAATAACTACTAGACCAGGAACCCGAGGAATGGAGTCCCCACACTCACACTCTGCACTCATAACTCTGCCTTGGTCTTCATAACCAGTTAGTTGCACTCCGACATATATATACTTGGGAAAAACTACAGCTGCATTTTGCCCAATTTCTTGGAGAGGAAAGGCAACTGGTTTGTCGAACAGAGCACAAACTAGCGAGATTTGATTGTGGAGTCCGTAGTTATAGATGATGTATCTTAATTGTATATTCAACATGCAACAACCGCCCCACCACGAACTCGCTCAATTTTTCGAATAAGAACCCGCCGATAGATCCATCGAACAGCCCTCGATCATACGAGCATTTTGACCCCAACGCCGACCGCATACCCCGTCTGGTGGTGGAGTTATTCAACCAAACGTGGTTCGAAGCCCCCGCGTGGGATATTCCCCCGTCCACCCCTACCACACCACAACCCCGGGTCAAATTGCCATACAAATTGTAAGGTGAAGAGACCTAGCCCTATGCACCAATCTTCTTGATTTTGGAAGATCCCCAACCTGTATTTGATGTTCCGAAACATCAACACCAAGTCCCACCCACGTAAGTTAGTTAGGTGGTTGATTTAATTATGTTACTGCCGAAATTATCTCAGCAAGCTCAGACGCTTCTCCAGATATTCATTGCTGTTTTAACACTGGATTGATGATTATGTCATGAGCTAACCTCAAATAAGCAATAAGCTAACCCAAATAGTAAAATCAGGTCATGTGAGTGATAATATCTTGCAAAGCATCTAAGAAACAGTTCCTAGTTGTTAATAACACAGGAACAATTTACTCAGTATCCTGAGTATGAAAGAGAATTTCAACTCAACTTCATAGATTCATTATTTCTGTATCACCTTAGAACCTTAGAATAACAATATTCTCATGATGTATCTGATTTTTATATTCATATCTCAAGTTCTTAGAATAGAAGTATCATCTCAAAGTTGACCAGTGTGTTTTTGAACACAGGAATTTTAATCCAATTTCTCATACAAAAAAAAGCTCTTAGAAATTCTGAGATCAAAAAATATGATCATTTTCAAGAGTATACATCTATCTTAAATATAGATTTTTTTGAAATATTAAAGAAATATTTCTATTCTTCTTCTCTTTAGCTATAAGCTAAGGTGATTTTCAAATCTCAAAGATATGTGGGTATATAGTAATAGAAAGTCAAAGTTGAAGAATCTGAAAAATCACTCAGGAATCTTCATTGAAAGATGGAACCATTTCTTCTCAGACCCTCTGGCGAGGATTGCTCTGAGCACATGACTTGTATCAAAAGTAGGTTAGTGTCATGCCGGATTAGTTAATAATAATGCTGCAACCCGTTCAAACCGAGCCAGAGGGTCTGAGCCCGCTGAGATAATGCCGAAATGCGCATTTATCTTGTGCATGAACATGAAACACAGTTCAGCTGATTTTCACCCAAGCTTCTTTTCTGTAGCGACATCCTCGAAGCAATTGAGTATCGTATTTCCCTTAGATCTCTTCCATCCTATCTTCCTCAGATAATCAGATAGATAATTGGAGTTGGAGAGAGAAAAGATTAATTCACTACGAATCACGTGACCACTAACATACTCTCCCCGCAGTTTTTATATTGTTGCTTTTTCGTCTCCCCGTTGTGCCTCCGCCGCCGCGCTCTTCGCCTCTCCCACAGGACAAAAAAAAGATGGCGAAAGAATTATCTCCCCAAGAGAAGGTCGATTTGATCTACCACAATCTTCAAGAAGTATTGAAGCCAGAGCTTATTGAAGATGTCATCCTGCGACAGAACCGCCCATTAAAGGTGTATTTCGGTATGATTTGACAACCCCCACCATTCGCATGAATAGATATAATATCTTTCAAGAGTGCCAATCCTTTCCAATGCCTGAGTAAGTAACTAAATCAAAGTTCCATAAAATTGAAAAAACAACATACAACAGGCACCGCAACAACCGGCCGCCCACACTGCGGCTACTTCTGCCCCATCGTAAAACTCGCCCACTTCCTCCGTGCAGGCTGCCATGTCAAAATCCTCCTCGCAGACATCCACGGGTTCCTCGACAACCTCAAAGCGCCCATCGACCTCGTCAACTTCCGCGCCAAATACTACCGCTACGTCATCACCGCCCTCCTCGAAGCCATCCACGTCCCCATCGACAAACTGGAGTTCGTCCTCGGCAGCGACTTCCAGCTCTCCCCCAAATACACCATGGACCTGTTCCGCCTTAGCAGCGTCGTGACCGAGCACGATGCCAAGAAGGCCGGCGCGGAGGTCGTGAAGCAGGTTGACAACGCGCCGTTGTCCGGTCTGATCTACCCGCTCATGCAGGCGCTGGATGAGGAGCACCTGGACGTCGACGCGCAGTTTGGCGGGGTCGATCAGCGGAAGATCTTCACGCTGGCGCTGGAGACGTTGCCGCGGATTGGCTACAAGGAGCGCGCGCACCTAATGAGCCCCATGGTGCCTGGGCTGGCGGGCGGGAAGATGTCGGCGTCGGATCCGGATTCTAAGATTGACATTCTGGACACGCCGGAGACGGTGAAGAAGAAGTTGAGGAAGGCGTTTGCGATGCCGAGGGAGACGGAGGGGAATGGGATTATTAGTTTTGTGGAGCATGTGTTGTTCCCTGTTAGTGCGCTGGAGAGCGCGGATGGGAAGGGGACCTTTGTGGTCGAGAGGACGGAGGAGGAGGGCGGTCAGGTTGTTTACGGGGATATTGAGGAGGTGAAGAAGGATTATCGCGCGGATAGGGTGGGGTTTTTTCTTCCCCGTTGTTTTTCTCCCCCTCCTCGTCTACATATCTCAATTACCCATCCTTCATCCCCACCAAACCCTTCTTTAGGAACATTTTTTACTAACCCGATAAAAACAAATCCAGTTAACCCCCCAACTCCTCAAAGCCGCCGTAACAACCGCGCTCAACAAACTCCTCGCACCCGTCCAGGCCGCCTTCCAAGCTAACCCGGACTGGCAAGAGGTCGAGAAGAAGGCATATCCACCCCCACCGGAGCCGGAAAAGAAAAAGAAGAAACCCAAGGATAAGGGAAGCAGATACCCCGGCGGCGGCGCTGCTGCGCCAAAACAGGATGTTGATGGTGTCGAGGAGAAGCTGGAGAAGTTGGCGGTTTAAATAACAGTGGGTGTGTGATTTAAAAAAGGGGGGGGGGGGGGCGGGGGAGAGCTTTCGAAGAAGATAGATAGCCGCTAAGTGGCTAGGCGTGTGGAGGAGGCGTTGGCGTGGAGTCTCTCTCTCTCTCTTTCTCCTCCCTTATCCATGATTGTTATTTGGGGGTGAAAAGGTGGAGAGAGTGTTTTCCCGGAAGACGGGGCTTTTTTGTTTTTTTTTTTTTTTTTTGTTTAATTTTTCCATTTGTCTTTTCATTTTGATCCTACACGACTGCACGACTTCAGAATATTAAAAATATAGAGAGTAACTATTTCTTGTATGTGAAAGAGGGCGAGCGGCGGGTAGTATTCACACTAAAGAAAATAGCATAATAAAGCACTGTAGACAACTTTTTGCTTAACTTTTTTTTTTTTTTTTTTTTTTTTTTTTTTTTTTTTTTTTTTTTTTTTTTTTACCGGAACATTTTATTGTTGCATCTGGCCTCTATTGTAACTAAAATATACAGAATACGTAGGTACAGTACAAACTGAGCTGGGTACGCAAGTTATCAGGAATTCGAAATAAATCAAAGCAACCAACCACAACCAACCAACCAGCTTGCAAACAAAGTTTTCGCAAACGGATATCAGAGCGAAATGATCTGTCTCCTCGTCAAGCCAATTTCAGTGTCTCGCTTCAGGCGGCTCCCCCAGTATTCTCTTTCTCTTTCTATGGTTGAATAAAAGGGGGGAGGAAAAAGGGGCTAGTCAAATCACCGGCGCTTCTGGACGACCGCCGTTTTCCCGGGTTGATTTTGCATGGTATGAGCTGTAACCCGGGGAAGGGGGACCGCGTGAAGGGTTCATTCTCGGGAGGCTACGCTCGAGGACAGCCTTCCCTCCCACCCCAGTTCAATTGCCCATCGCCTTCTACTCCGTCCATCCGCTCTCAGCATTGAGTCGAATTCGTCTTCTTGTGAGATCCGGCTTTTTCATATCCGGAACTTCATGCATACATCCTCTTCCTCGTGTCCCTCCCCTCTCATGCCACATGTTTCTCCTCTGTATGACATTCGACTTTCGCACAGCGAGACAATGATGAGACGGACACGAGTCCCGCGCACGCCGTTTCAACTCAGTATGTCCATATATCACTTTTTCTGTTTTATTTCTTCTTCTCTTTCCTGTCAGCCAAACCAAACCTCTCTGTCCCACCTTCTCTGGAATGTTGAGGTCTTTCCGGGGAAAAAAAAGGAAAACCCCATCCGTATGGGAAATATAGCATGCCAAACGATATAGCCTGCGATAGGCTAGCTGGTTGTCTCGCAGCGTAACGGGTCCAAATCCCGGTCAAAAAAAAGAAAAAATAATGCAATCATAATCATCCCCGCCCCGTCTGCCTTATCAGGCAACAGAAGAGGACAAGAGCAGAAAACCCCTTTTTAGTATGTTCCCCAACTCCATAACACATGCCACAACATTAAGAAAGAAACAATCCCACGAAAGTATAAAGAAAAAAAGAAAAAAGGAAAAAAAGATAGCCCTTCTTAAAAGAACAAAACCAAAATGAAACCAACGGAAACCAATAGTCTAAAACCCCCCAAACCCCTGCCCATACGGCGTAGCCCCATACGGCGTCGCGCCACCCGCACCGCCCCAAACGCTCCCACCCCCAGCACTCCCGCCAACACTATTAGCCGCATAGGCCGTATAGCCACCATCCAGCCCCTCCGGTGGCTCATAGGCGTCGGGGCTCCGGCCACCATCCTCATCGATGCCGTTCAGGGCAGCGCCGTCGCGATCCGTATCGCCCGCGCCGGTCAGGGCGGAGATGATCTCTGCAAGCTTGCGTTGGAGGACGGTGATGCCCTGTTGGACGATGGCGTCTGGCTCGAGGTTGCCGATGCTTTCGACGTCGAGGTAGAAGGTGGAGGGTTGGGCGTCGTAGTCGAAGGGCATGTCGGGTTGTGTCGGGGTTTCCCATTCTGCGTTTGCAGAGACGGGCCTGTGGTGGAAAACATAATATCAATATCAAATATAAAAATAGGTTTTGACTTAAAAAGGGAAACGGAGCAGGGGCAAAACATACCACTCCTTAATCGGATCCTCCTCATACCAATAATCCACATGCTTCAAGTTATTATGCGGGTCATACTCAAACCCCACCGCAGCCGTCGGCGCCCACTTCGCATGCTCCTTCGCAATCCCCTTCTTCGCAACACACGTCATCTTAATCTCCTGGCCCCTCCGCAACTTACAAATCAACGGCCCTTTCCCCTCCGCATCCGTAATAACCGGGTTACCCACCCACTCATTCGCCCGGTCGCCCACCACCACCAGATCGCGCGCGTACACCTTCATGATGTCCTCGCCCGTGCATCGCGCCTGGAGCGATAGGGTGACGACGCAGCGCGCACAGCCGCCCTCGCAGTCGCAGTCGCGCGAGTAATACATGTCCGCGTCGCAGTTTTTGGAGTTGAGCGGGATGAGGCCGAGGCGGTGGGCGATGAATTCGTCGGGGAGGACGGAGGTGTTAGATTCGATTTCGACGACGTCGATGGCGACGGTGGGGACTTCGGCGAGGAGGGTGCGGCGGAGGGAGTTGGCGAAGGCGAGGTCGACGGAGCTGAGGCGGAAGTCGACGCGGTGTGGTTCGGCCTGTTTTGGTTTTTGTTCGACGTTGGTTAGAGTCTGTAGTTTGGTCTTCTTTTTCTTGGTCTCTTCCCTTTGCGTCTATTTACCTCTCTGACTGTTACTTGAGGGCCCTGGAGCTCGATGTCCATTTCATCATAGTCCATGATGGATGGGGGGAGCAGCCGCGCGAAGGCTGGCTTCCTCCCTTGATTGTGGTTCGGGGGGTGCTGTTTACTCTGTATTCATGGATCGCTGTTCTGAAAGTGCAGGCACACAAGGTATGAGATGGTCTTGAAAAGTTAAAAAGTTAAGTAGCCGGTGGAGAGCTTTTGAGGCGGTTGAGAGATGTCTGGACTTGTAGAAGTTGAAGCCCAGAGCTTCGATATCGATGTTCCTTGATTGGGACTAGAGAAGCGTTGTCGGTGAATAGTTTATCCGAATGTTCCTAGAATACTCAGGATGAAAGAAGAAAAACCACATTCATTCTGTTCCGTGCAATCATTCTATTCGTTATTTCCCATCCCATCCCAATACACCAACTAACAGAATATATAATAAAAATATAGTAAAATCAACACTCCCGTGCAAAACTCCACTCACTCTCAACCTTGCAGTGTGTGAAGGATGTAACCAAAATGATAGTTATCATAACTCATAGGGAATGCAAACAAAGCAAAATGGATAAAATATTGAATGACCTCGAAATATAGAGAAATTGCCGTGCAGTCGTGTCGTTTTGTTCGTTTGGTTTTATCATAAAAGAGCATCGATTTTAAAAAAGGGGAAAGGGAAGTGGTTCCTAATTCCAGATTCCTCGCTCTTAAGAAAGGCAAGAAATAAGGCAGACAACAAACAACACGCCAAACCATGGATGAACAGATCTAAGCATAAAGCCATCTCCTCGCCCCACTAAAATCAACGGCAAAGGAGTTTCTCCCGTCTATGGTTTGTTGGTATATCACAACATAAGTCGGGCAAAATATAAGGGGGACCCGATATGAGAAAGGTCGAAATCAGGATTAAAAACAAAAAGATGGTGGTTGGGTAAACTGGCGACCAAGAAAAGAAAGGAGACTTATGGCGGTGCATCATAGCATCCAAAAATAAGAGGAAATGAATAAATAAATAAATAACAGAACCGTCCGTCTAAATATAGTGCTTGACCGAAGAAAAGAAAAAGGCAAAGGAACAAATGCAGCACAAATGCACCAAATACTAATTTGGTCCCCCACTCCCCCACCTCCAAAATATCTTCTAATCAGCTCAACTAACGAAAAACAGTTATGGGGATACAAACAGGGGGCAAATCATTTTCTATCATCGAAACCATTCAGGAAAACAGAACTCTCTAAGGTTCGGAATGGGGGTTGGGCGAAGAGGTGGTGGAAAACGAGGGCTAGCTAGCGATATGTATGTAGAGACAAGGGCTTTCCTTTGCCCTGAAGAAGAAGGGTAGAAAGGAGGTCTCCCGGGAAAACTAGACAACAAGATAAAACATGTGAGCCACCCAGAGGATGATTGGGTCTTGGCTAGACGAAAGGGGAAATGTGTAGAGGACAGGGTGATTTGGATAGCGGGAGCAAATATATATATATATATGGGAAGAGGAGGTTCTAGATGTGAAGGATAAATTTTAGAATATATCGTGTATTCATAACATCAAGAAATGATGTTAGCCTGCTGTCGGTGGGATGAGAGCATTGGCCGCGGATCTCGAAACGCATTTAGCAATATTGTCTAATACAAAACTCGAAAGGGTAGTGAGGTCGAACAAGGAGTAGGACGAAGAAATTTTGCCGCACTTTGCGCATAAATTCTAACAATAAAACAGAGGGGCTGGTAATCTCTATCAAAAGAAATTCCAATATGATGTAATTAGTCCCCGGCATAACGGAGGAGACTGATCAAAACGACAGGTTGTGTGTCGACGATGTCCTCCAAGGAATCAGCTGAATAGTTCCACGATATGTTGAAAAGTAATAGGCAGTGAGACGGCAATAGATAAAATCATCCCAAAAGTAAGGCAATATGCAGCCATTACCAAGAGAAATAAAAGCCAGCCGGGTACAAATATCGAGTACTATGATCTCTTGAGAGAGCTGCGATTTAGAGCATCGAGGAGCTCCGGGCGAGTCGCCAATGCCGCCGCGGCCTGCGCATAGGTAACCCATTGTCGTTTCCGCTTGTGCATTTCGGGCCACTGGGCTTCCTCGCGGTCAACGCGAACCTCGAAGAATTGATACAGCACCTTGGGTGCCTTCAGGGACACCTGGGCCGGGGTCCGCATGTCTGCGATCTTGCCTAGATCACGTAGGACAGTGCAGACGACGCCTGCCTCCTCCCAAGCTTCGCGGCAGGCAGCCTGCTGGGCGGACGCCTCGTCCAACTCCCAGCCGCCCTTGGGGAGAACCCAACCTCCGCGGCGAGTAGACTGGATCAAGAGCACCCTGGACTTGTCAGGGGAGATGGGGACGACGCCGGCGACGAGTCGTTCGCGCTGGGGCTGTAGCCTAAAGGAAAGTTCCGATGGAGCGGACATGTCAGCGGAACTTGTTGGTTTACCAAGCCAATAGAAGGGAGGCAACGGGGTCAAAGCAGGGCGCGACATTGGCGAGCGTAGCCAGTAGGAAGGGGGAGAAAAATGGGGGCCCGTTCAGTAGGGATTGATGGGTATGGGGTGAGGGAGAGTAACATAGTGATGTACGTTGACGAGTAGGATATATAGTGGGTGTAGTTGAAGGGAGAAGAGGTGAGGAGAGACGATGTGATCTCATAGAAGTCAAGGTTGGTAGGTGGTGGTGGAGGGGGAACAGGACAAGGAGATGAGGGGCAGGGGCCAGCAGCGAGGGGAAGGCGAGAGAGGAACGGGACACGTGCTCCAACCAAAGGGTCAGCATTGCCTACTCACGCTGGTTCGTCCTCCCCGTCCGCGACTCCATCTTGCACGACTGGGCCATTGTTATTGCTCGCCTGTCAATAGTAACCTTCGTTCGTCTGTCGTCGTCGTTCTTTTTCCTTTCCACGGGCGGGTCGATGCACTGGACTCTTTCAGCCACTGTATTATGTCGTTTCTCTCCCAAGCAAAATAATGTTGAACAATCTCCGGTCCGTGGTCCAAACGCGCACACACGCACACACACAGGCACACACACAGAGCGAGAGAGATACAAGCTCTCCCACACACCACACCGCTTTTTTATCCTTTTTGTTCTAGCGGCGGATAAGCCTGGCAACTAAAATTCCCCTTTTCGTCTTCCCACCCACAGACTCAAGCCAGAAGTTGTGCTGGCTAGACAGGTTATAGATATATAGCGGACAGCGATGGGTAAATTTGCTGTCTGGGTAAGCCCTCACGCGAGAACCTTCCTAAGCTTGTCTCCGGAATTGCCCTGCGTAGACAACAACTATATATAGAGAGAGGTAGGCAGGGCGTATATAGGTATATATATATATTCGATAGTGATCGATAAGAAAAATGGAACGGCAACGCAAACAGCTCGAATCTTCGTTAAAGGAGGTAGAGTATTTGTTCTCGTGCGAGGAAATAATTCGATCAACGGGGGAATTCTGCTCTTCTCTTCGCAAACGGGGTCGGGCAAAGCTTTGCTTTTCGAGCTGCACACCGCTATCTGTGGGTGCTACCTCGGACGAAGGGCGGATGATCAGGGTTGATGAGAGGTAGGTAACAAAAGTGGCGAGCTATCTATCTATTTGAGGACGAGGACAGGAGGAGATTGGAGCAAGTGGAGGAGAGATTTCAATCGGTGTACGGAGTGGTATGTAGTTGGGCTGTTCGGGATTGGGATTGGGATTGGGACTGCTGGCAGCGGGAGACGGTCGATGGAAAAATGGACGGAAGAAGAGAGCTTCCTTTTCAGTCCCGCGGGGGCCGGGGCTGGGGAAGAGTATGATTCCGAAGAGGAGCTGAAGGGCTGGACGAAGACATTGTAAACAGGGAGGGGAAGCAGAGTAAAGTAAATAAATAGGATGGGAAGTAGGACAGGTAGCCGGAGGGTCGAAGGAAGAGTGTAGCGGACGGGGAGAGGGAGACGGAGACGAGAGACAGCAGACACACGGAGTCGGGGACCGGGCGACGGAAGTGCTGAGTGTGGGCAGCAGAAGAAAACAAAACAAAAAAAAAAAAAAAAAAAAAAAAAAAAGAGCACACAACTACAATTTGCTCATTAGAGTTTTGAATTTCCCAACTTTTTCTTTTTCTCTTTTTCTGCGGAATCCACCACCTGACATTGAGAAATATTAAAAATAGCCATCCACTCTCTCTCCTTTGCAGCGAATATATGCAGATTGCCCCTATCCCTCTTACATATATACCTTAACCTTATCAACCTACGATTATCAAGAACATCTGGCCTGGCAAATGAGCGCATTCCCGACCCCTCCACCTCTCTCATCCGGGACCAAAAGACGGTGGAAGTGGAAGCCAGGATACCATCGTCATAAGCGTTAAGGGAGATCTCGAGACCTCATCCTAAATACAGATCATAAATAAGAAAAGCAAAGAAGAGCCATAGAAAAAAGAAAAGAACACGCCATTCAGCCAGCCTGTTAAGAGCACCGCATCCTGGCTCGTGCTCAACACTGCTTCTGGGACTCGTCGATAAATTATTTATTATTGCCAGGTGTATGCAGTATGTATGTGTGTGTGTGTGTGCTAACTGGCTCCCGCTTATTAGCTACACCTTGACTTTGCTAGTTATGTTATATACCTATACGGTATGCTTCTACTTGCAGCTTGCTTTTGTACTACTGCGATGCAGCAGCTGGCGCGGAGGCGGGCGACGGCGCGGGCAAGAGTTCGATCCTGAAACAATGGCATCGAATGACCGCTTTTCTCCATCATCGTTGTTGTCTCCGGTCTGGGGGGTGTGTGAAGCAGGAAGCGGAGCAAGCAAGGGCTGGGATTAGTTGGTTATTTTCAACTGTTTGAAAGTATGGACTCTGTACGCGGACTGTATGATGTGTTGGTTGTTTCTTGCTCTGGAGGCTGGAGGGGGCCGGGCGAGGCGGTTGATGGGAATCGTCCTGGTTTTCCCAAGCGGTGTGGCCCTGTTTCTTTTCCTCCCCTATATAACCATATCTCTATCTAACTATCTTTAGGCCCTTCAATATTTTCCTCTTTTTGTTTTATAAATATATCCTTTTTCAGCAGGATGATTCGATCTCATGCTATTTTCCTTGTCAACGATCTGCTCGCTCGAAAGAAAAAATAAAAATAAAATAAAATGAGAGGGAGGGGCAGGTTAGTGATTGGGGTTGATTGATTTCATGCAGCTGTTGGTGTTTGAACTAAACTATTAAACTTGGCGGGGAGGGCAACCAATTAACTAGCTGCTGCGAGCGATGCGCAGTTTCGCTGGGATGCTGGGATGGAAGAAGCCTTCTAGAAGAAAATAGTTAATGGATAGTAATGGATTGTGATAGGCATGAAGAGATGGTTGGACGGGATATCTAGCGGCTCTGCTTTTTTTTTTTTTTTTTTTTTTTTTTTTTTTTTTTTTACCCTGTTTTCTCCCTCTTTTTTCCAACCCTCCTTCAAGTTCCGCCCCCCCACGCCCCACGCGCCATTATTATGATCAAAAACATTGCTTGATATCCTCTCTTCTTTATTTTCTCCCTTATCTCATTGACTATATATACCCCCTGTCGCACAATATCACCGCACATTGCTTTTTGACCCCGCTCTCACCCTCCGTTACCACTGGTGGCTTGACAACAGGTTGTCCTATGCAAATATATCTATCTCCGCATGGCGTTTCCGAGTATCGTCCCATTACACTGTATGATAACCCTAGTGGAAATCACTGGGTCAGCCAAGTCATTATACTATACCCTTCCCTTCCGGCCGCAAGCCTTAGTTAAATGGGGGAAAAAGGAAAAGAAAAGAAAAAGAAAAGAAATATACGGACGGCCCGGCCCACGGATCTTCCTGTCCAATTTAGTATGATTTCACCATATGGTTGTCGCACTGGTTTCACTTCAGGAATTACTATTAATCCGACCTGGAGAGAAGTCAAGGGATGTTCCGTCCTTTAAACAGGACAAACATGTAAAAGAGTTGAAATAAATCTCATAAAAATTGAAAATAGTTCATTTGATACAATATTGTCATACTCCAACAACATGTGTTATGGACTTCTTTCGCACTGCACTGGCGCTAGATAGTCGGAGTCACTCGCCGGCAGAAACACATGGCACTTCAGGGGCCGTTGATCTTCCGGTGTTACACAACCACTAGATGTCTAGGCTAAGCTCCTACGCCGTATATTCCAAGAGAACTACAGGATGGCATCAGTTTTGGACTAGATTTAAGCAAAGTGCCTGAGATACAGCTGATATCCTTTTTTTATTCTCTACTGTGGCGATTATTACAGATGAAGGGCTTTTATTATCTTCCTTGTCCACTATGTCGACAAGATGTTGAGGTGGCACAACCAGATTGTTTTCATATACTTCTTTGGCATCCAGATTACTATCCTTCTCATCGTGTGTTTTTCTCCCGCTGACCAGTTACTTCCTGTAATTAACGTACTCCTTACAGGAGAGGCGGAGGAATGGCCCCAGGCTACTCTCGATCTTTGCCGGCTGCTTGAGCGACCGACAGAGGAAGGAAACGAAACCTTCTTGGGAGCACTTAGGGACCAATTCCCCGAGCAAACCGTGACTGAAAAAGTCTCATGTGAGGCTGAGCTTGCGAAGCTAGTACAAGAAGACAAGGACCTGGCTGAATACTGTCAAGCAGGGGTTGAAACTTTGAGGCATCAAGGGATTAAGGATCAAGTCGCCAGTTCATCTATGATAGGCAGGAAACTTGAGACCCTGCTGCTCGAGACAGTGGTTAATAAGTGGATACGAGGCCTTAAAAAGACAAGGACTAGAATCAAGTTGATGAAGGTATCTAGCGACCTTCCCACCCTCCAAGCCGCTTACAACAGGGCTAGGAACGTGGAGAAAGCAGAGCGTGAGTTGAGAGAAGGACGAGGAATCCCGGGAGAGAGACGGGGAGTTAGCAAGGTTGAGGAAATGTACAGAGAAGTATCTAGATCCCAGCAAATATGCCGAATTCCAGGCGGCTTATGCCAAACAAGTTTGCGGGGTTGAAGAAGAGGAGGATGAGGAGGAGGAACGATTAATGCCAGAGAACCTCTTCGAGAAACAGGATTCTAGGAATCAAGGAGCCAACCGCCAGGGTTTCCCGAAATCTGACTACTCGGAGTCCTGTCCGCCAGAGCAGAATCCTGAAGGTCCCGATGGTCGAAAGAGCAACAATGACTTTGTCAATGGGAGAAGAGACGTGGAGGAAGGACGGCACCTCCCCCTTGTACTTGGAGTGTGGAAGGCTTGGTCATCTGGCTAGCGCTTGCACGGGGACCTACCTACCTTGGAAAATTGGGAGAAAGCAATCCTTTGAAAGCTTTTGGAATAGGAGGGAATTACGCCAGACGTCAGACATGAAATACCTAGGCTGGAGTGCCTGTTACCCCGAGCACCACTCATTCCTCAGAGAAGGTTGAGCTTAGTGTACAGTCAGTGGCAGCTGGTGTTGAAGGCCTGGATTGGGGTGATGGGTATAGCTCTCTCAGGGCGAGATCGACATGAACTGTGAAGAGCGGTTTTGCAGCACATTTGCAATACATAACCCCACTACTGCCAACATCCCGAAATTGCTTCCCCCGGCGCATGAATTTGGCTATTCCTCCACAGGTATACTGTTTGAGTCCTTGCGCTCCAGGGGCTGACTTTCGACCAAGAAGACTTGGAGGCCGCGTTCAATGAAGCGTTTAAGGTTAGCACGGCCAATATCTAGGAAAGCCCTTGTTCTTAGTTTCTAGTCTTTGATACCGGATCCTTGCCTCAGCCTGATCGAAGGGCGTTTGAGGACACTCTCCATAGACACCTTTTGACACGGAATCTCTGAGCGCGGACGAAGACGATCCTATCTTCTCTGGCATCAAATGTTCTTTTTTATTATCACAGACCCTTCATGTTTATCTATTTAGCAAAAATATGAAAATATTAATTCTCTATATTCTAGTTCTGAGATCTTTCATATAAGAGATTCTACAACCTTGGAAATCTACCCTTGGTCACGGGATTCTCCGCTCTTGCTACCCGTCTTGGCATCGCCAAGCCTCTACTTTATCGAAACATCTTCCCTGTTCATTTACAGCTTGTTATCACAGTTCGATCCATTTTTAATATTGTAACGAAATATTTGACGCTGGGTTTTAATGGACCGCGTAGTTTTCATGTCAACTATCCCCAAATAACAAGTTGTAAAAACTGTGAAGGTTCCTCTATCTTAGAAGTCGTTGGGATGTCATCCTCCGACGAAGAAGAGAGGCGGCCGAGACAGCCAGCGCTATCCTTTATCACGCCAAACGGTAAGCAGACAAATTCCCTCTGGATAACGGCGAACTACGAACCATCTGTTGCTTTTGTGAAGGGGATTTAGCTGTATTCAATCTACTATGGACTTGTTGCTGGGCTCTTCTAAATCCCGTCCCTCCCAACTATGTTGCACGTGCCCACGCGGCGAGATGACCCAGAACGCTAACATATTGATGATGTATAGGATACCAGCGGAACTCATGCGGCTATTGCAAGTCTGATAATGGAAGTTGGTCTCGCCTTTTTTAACAGCCTTTCAGGCCTTAAATTTCACGTAATGTACGAGCCAACGAAATGTAGGTAGATGGAGTCTGACAGCAGATATGTTTGGATAGGCGTCTCCTACTATGCCTCGTCCAAAGGCATGCGCGTGGAGGAGTATCAGGAGCTGCTCGATAGAGGATGGAGACGGTAAGAATATGCTCATCTATTGTGCTTTTGAACTGTGCTTTTTTTTTTTTTTTTTTTTTTTTTTTTTTGGTGCCATTAAGGGGCAAAGATGGGATTGAGCTGAAGTATCTGTTTAGGTCCGGATCACTTTACTACAAGCAAAATCTGAAACGCTCGTGCTGTCCGCATTATACAATAAGGTGTGCATGGATATGAATGTTCTTTTATGTGCTTTATTAGCGCTCCTTTTTTCGGGTGTCCTACCCTCTTCGTTCTAACCATCCCCCCGTCGATAGACTGGACCCTATCCCTTTCAAGCCCAGAAAAGACCAAAGACTAGCCATGAATCGCTGGAATAAATTCGTGTTGGGCCAGTCGTATATCCGAAGTGCCGCAAGACTTTGTCCAAAAACTAGAGAGTATGTTGCCCGGCTAGTTTTGTTTCCCCCCCCCACCCCCGGGACCTTTCAGGTTTTAAGGTGCTTGGAGTTTTCATGATTTCAGTAGAGATCTGATAACAATATGGTTAACTCTATATAGGGAGAAAAAATTGCGGAAGACAAAATTTGATTTACTCCAACGAGTCCATGAAGTGGAATACACCAACGTTAAGAGACCCAGGGATCCAAAAACGAAAAGGCCCATTGAACCGGCACATCGGTTTGACGTGAATATTGAGTCGGATTCTTTCTCCCAAGCGAAGTTCGTCCCCTTTCTCTATTTCTATCTCCATGTTTTTAACACCAGATCCCCCTAAGAGCGAAGTAAATTGACAATTTTTTGCAGATATGACCTCTTCCTTAAATATCAAATGCAAATACACAATGAGCCGGCATCAAGATGGAACGTCCATTCATTTAAGCGGTTTTTATGCACAGGTATTAATAGAAAGGTTGTTAAAGAAGGTTCAAAGGAGCAGAGGCTGGGATCCTATCATCAGTGTTACCGGTTGGATGGCAAACTTATCGCAGTAGCAGTTCTGGATTTGCTTCTTCATGCCGTGAGCTCGGTTTACCTATTGTATGGTTTCACAGTACCGGCCCTACAAACCACAATTCCATAAAGTGAGTAGATGGACTGACAACTAGCAGCTACGACCCAGAGTACAGCGAATATGAATTTGGAAAACTTAGTGCTCTCCGAGAAATCGCCTTAACCATTGAGGGCAATTATCAATACTACTATATGGGTACGAGGAGAATATTCGATTTTCAATCCTGTCATAATTAGTCATGTCTTCTCCCCAACTCAACTGACAGCATGCAGGTTTCTATATACACTCCTGTCAAAAAATGCGGTATAAGGCGAATTTTCAGCCCCAGTATGTTCTAGGTGGGTAGTACATTCTCCACGCAGGTGTTCCGAAACAAGTTTGAAACGCTCCTGACATATATACAAAATAGACCCAGAAAGCTTAACCTGGGATCCCTTCGATGCCTACAAAGAGGAGCTTGATCGTCGTCCATACGTATCTCTTTCTCATGACCGTACGTTAGGTGGAACAACCCAACCAGGGGGTAATGTCGAAGGACAGCCCACTAGCACAGCGATCAAGCGATCGAACATTCAACCTCAAGTTAATGAAGAAGATATGTCATTATTTGACATCCATATGCCCGGCGTTTTGACCCTACAGGAAGTGCAGGAGCAGGTGGATCTGGATCATTGGAAACTTCTCGCACATGGTGTTCTGGTTGATATGGTGGTGAGTTTTCCAATTCTCGTTTCCGATTCAATTTTTTCGTTCCTCTTTTTCCCTCCCCGTCTGAACATATTTTCCTTCGTTCGAAAAGCGTGCAATGAACGAAGCTGATTCACGATCCCATACAGGATCTGGTCCCCTGGGATAATTCAGATATTCGCCAACCTCAGTCGATCAAGGGAATTGTTGGTGAGCTTGCGGCGGTGCTGGGACCGAAGGTCGTTAAGAATTCGGTGGTTGTTTTGTTTTAAACCTTTGTTTGGGAAGAAGAACCTTTTTTCCCTTCTTTTCCAATGTCTTTGCAGCTTCATTATGGAAGCTTTATAATAATGAGGACCTTTTGTGAAGATCGTTCTCGCTGCGCCTCTCAAGGCATGAAGAATATACTAAGGGCAAAACGGGAGAGCACGGTCACTACATGGAGAAAAGTTCGCTTTGGACCGAGTTCTATTAGCTAGTTTTCTTAGCGATTAGCTACTATCCTCGCTCAGCCAGCATTTTGTCATTTTATGGGGATAGTTATGCACCTCGTTCTCTCCGCTGATAATATGGCATCTTGGGCACATTAACCAGATTTAATCCCCTTTCCGTCATTATTGAGCGTTGCTGTATCATTAACAATCCTAGCTACCTGCAAAGTAACCGCCACCAACAACAACACCACATACAAGAAGGATACTACATAACACCTTTATCATGAATAGTCAATCTTTATCAGGGTCTACATTACCCTCAGATCAATCCAATGATGCCGCAAGCATCATCGCCCTTCCTGAGTATACAGAGTCTGAGAATAGACCACCTTCAACCACCCTGACCTACCACACCATTGAGGTGGTTTCCAACACAAGCAACTTTCCACCGATATAAAAGGGAGTCCCGTTCGGCCAAATCTAGACACTCCAGCCCCACGATTAGTGCATCCCTACAGAGTCAAATTTCATCCAATTTCCGTCCCTCCGGGCTCGATACATCACCTTCTACAACTAGCAAATAGAGATCTTATTAAGACTCTATATTATGCTGCTAAAGGTGCAGACGAAAATGCAGTTCGCCGTCTCATAGATGATGATGAAATGTTTGAAGGGAAGCAGGTACTGCCTTTACAGCCCTGCACCAAACTGCTATGAGAGGCTATCTTGCCATCACAAGCTCCCTTCTTGAAAGTGGCGCTGATCCACAGGCGAAGAATGACCAGGGTTAAACCGCCCTTCACCTGGCAGCGAGAAATGGAATGGTATCAGCGGTGCAGATACTTCTAGACCACGAAGCGTTGGTGAACGCTGCCAGCCACAATGGCAAAACCGCGCTCCACAAAGCTGCGAAATGGAAACCGCCTTGCTACTGTGGAGCTACCCCTTGATCATGGAGCTGATGTGAATACTTTAGATGCTTTTTTTTAGATGCTTTTTTTATGACGTGGGTGGACGTGGCTGCAGCACAGCTGAATAGCGGGCCTGTCGTCGAGCTTTTTCTGGAGAGAGGGGCCGATGTGAAGAATGATTATGTGTCCAAGGCGCTATTCGGATAGTGGAGGTAGCTACTGTTTCTCTTCTGCTTGAGCATGGAGCAAGGGTGAAGCCGTAACTCTGGCTGATCAGTGCTGCGTGCAGCGGTTGTTAGTGCGTCCATTGCAATCATTAGGTAGGAATGTTGCTAGATCACGGTGCAAATATTGAAGAAACAGATGAGAGTGAACGCTCGGGGGTTCAATGGCAACTCCACTATGGAATTGGCATCAATTTACGGCCATGAAAAGGCATATGGAAAAAAAGCGCGGACCAGGACAAGTTCTCACACCTCTAGGGAAGTTTCCCAGTCCATATATGGGGCAGCGCGATCCAGCACCAGGTTTTGTGTCAATATTTGCTTGCGAAAACTACACCTCAGAGGAAGCGTAGGACAAACTGACTGTACATACATCCGATCCGAAGCCAGATTCCTCAGATCAAATGTCCTCGACATCTGCATGTGGCGTAACCAGGCTAAAATTTACAACCTTCAAAGCTACATACTGCGGTAGCCGCCATTATCGCCCCTGGCGCGATATTGAGAAAGCTATTCAGATCTTATTGCGATCGATCCCACTCAACCCGCATATATATGAAGGCAGGGTATCGTATCTGGATTCAGCTATCCGAGTCTTTGAGCGAGTTGCTGACGCCTACGAGCGAATGAGGGGCTATTCTATATCACTGTTTCCTGAGGTGTTCATTAATGTGCCTATAGAAAATGTATAGCCGCCGCATCAAAGACTGGCAGATGTCATCATTTATGGGTGGAAGCTTTATCGTCGGGGATGCGACGTGCATAAGAAAGTCCCAATGAGGCAGCTAGTGCATATGAAATGCGGATTGAGGGGGGATAGATAAAAAGGAAAGAAAAAATAGAATAAAATAGAATAAGACAAAATAAGAAAATAAGAAGCAATATTTTGAAATGATTTCAGAGTTTTTTTTTTTTTTTTTTTTTTTTTTTTTTTGACCTCGTTAGACATTTCTTCCGATACTAATCCGGGAGCATATAAAAACAGTTAGATCGAGATATCCACAACAACACGGCAAGGGTAACTTATCTCAAGAGGAATTAGGTAATTGTAAACCCCTCTCTCCGAATGAGACATTAATTAGCCCAACGGTGCATCTGTGTGCCCGGCCTAATCAAAAGCAAAGCTCATCATTTTCTTCTCGCATTGGGAATTGAACCGACGTTTTCTGATATTCCGCATGTTTGGGCACAACCCAAGCCTGCAACACATCCACTATCATTTAAACAAGGTTAAACAGTAGTTATGGCCTATGCATGGTATTGTCAATTTCAACCATGAACTACGCAGTAAGGAGCTTCACCCGCGAAACTCATGCCAAGTGCTCGTATCTGAAATGGTAACTATCTATCCCTGCGCTGCGCCTCCGACCTCAGGAGCTTCCGTTAGAATGTGCATTCGAACAGCATAACTTGACACGGAATCATACACCGTATGCAAGCAAACCCCGTTTTAGTCATGTCTGTTTTTCTGCTTTTTGCTTTTATTTAAACATCAATTTGGATTGAATTCAAACTAACCTCTTATTCCAAACCAGACCGCAGTCCGTTTCGCTAGAAAACCAGTTTGGACTTTCAATGCCTATTTTAGGAAATCTTCAACTACAACTTGATCTACACAGTAAATCATTCATGATGAAACGACCTCGTATTCCATTGTGTGATTCAGCAATGTCCACCGTCTCAAACGGGCCTGTTCATTGTTGTTGAACTGCAATCAATAATGGCTCCAAGCGGAATCTAAAGAAACAAAATATTTCTGTTTTCTCGCGCCCTCTCGTGAGAGAGTCGTTCAACATGACAGCACCTGGAAATGGAACGAAGCGTGCGGCCATTGGTTTGTAGCTGCGGCTGTTCCCTTTTTGCACTCATTCTGGGCTTTGTTTTTCCGTTGAGCGATGCTCGTTGTCCGGCCTTTTAAGTGTCAAGGAGACAACTGTACAGCCACAACAACAGCCCTAGTCTTATCTCCTGATCAGAGATCCGCTCCGACTCTCGCCCGCCAGCAAAAGGAAAGGGGATGGTCTCGTATCATCATAAGCGCGGGCCATCTGGCGGTTGGTCCGGTCAGCGTATCCATGTGGCCGTGTCATCGTGGGTTGGTAGTTGAAGACGTCCTTGTAAGGACAAGAATATATAAAAGACCAACAACCCCTCGCTTTTCATTTTCCGTCATAAATGACCACCTCCTGCTCATTCCTACTTCTATATTTGCCTTCCATCTCTTCCAAGATAAAACGAGTCGAGCTAGAAAAAGCAGAGAATAAATCAAGATGTTGAAGCATCACCCCCCAATACCTCTCATCCTTCTCCTCGTGGCCTTTTTCTCTACACTGCTAGCAGCCACCCCGGTGGACTACTACATCGCTGGAGTTGACCAGACACCAAATGCCGTCCGCGTCTTTCCGCGGAACAAACCCTGGACTTCCTCGAACCTCTACTGGAGTTTCACGGCCGGCAAAAGTAGGAGAGGCTGGAGCAACCTCTCCGATGTCAAACTCCGAAGGACCGCTTCTCACGGCTGGATTGCCCTCGTTTGCGCCTCCGGTGGCAACGCAGGTATCATCGATGTTTCCAAGAAGAATCTGAGAACCGACCTGGGTGATTTGCTGTGGACAGGCTCGCCGGGCAGCAACCCACACGCCATCGAGCGTATCCCCCACATCGGTGCGGTTGTCGTGGCGAGTTCGACCCCGGGAAAATTGACGCTCTATTACCCAGGAAATCCTAAGAAAATCAACGATTTCAAGAACTTGAAAAGATCCAGTGTCAATTATGATGCCCCTGGCGCGCACGGCGTACTCTGGGACCCCAATGGTGCCCCGGACGATCCTGAGAAGGGGATCCTGTGGGTTTCCCTCGATAAATACATGCGAAAATATAAAATCATGGGCCGGGGGAAGGCAATGCGCCTTGTACGGGAGGGTTTTTCGATTCCCTTCCCTGGAAAAGGTGGCATGGGGCATGATTTGCAGCCAGATTATACGAATAAAAATGTGCTGCTGGCGACAGATTCGTATGGGACTTACGCATATGACATTTCTACGGCGGAGTGGACCACGCTGAGGGAGGAGAAGGCGATAAAGAGTTTTGTGAGGCATAAGAGTGGGGAGTACCTGTGGGTTACGAAAGAGGGGAAGGACGGGTGGGTAAGCAGATGGGTGAGTTTTGGTATGAACGTGGGGGAGAAAGTGAGTGAGAAGAAAGGAGGGAATGGGATGGGGTTCTATAAAGCGAGAGTGCATGATCCAGCATTTGAGTGAGGAAATAGGTTATCCTAGATACCCACAAATTGTATATAGGTTTTCTGATCATACTAAATTTGCACACGCCGTAAATAGTATTCAGCCAGCCCCTTTCTCTCGCTCCCCAACATGTGTACAACAAGAGCTACTTGACGGAGTAGATCTATAATTTACGAGTGTCTGATCTGGTAATATCTGACTTCCCACAAGGTTTATTCTCCTAGCATATTTTTACCCACGAGCCACGTATTCCTGATATCTCGCCAGCTGCAACAATAAAATCTAAACTTCCTTCCTCTATCCTCCCTACCGTCTTAAAATATTTCCTCTCATTCCTCTGCCTTTCCTTGAGCAAAGCTCAAAATTCCTTGAATAACAAATACAATAGAGCATTAACTACTAAATTCAGTCTAGATCTCAATACCCGAAGTGATTTCTACATACAACCGGGTCCAGGAGCACGACGAACACAGACAACAACACTGCTGCCCCATGTCATCCACCTTCATTATTTAATTATACCCACATAGGTACACACATCTCCGAGCTAGATGGTTAAAATCTAAACACAAGACAAATATATATATACATATTTCTCTATATATCTAGTTGAGTCACTTTCGTCTTCGCCTATCCAGAACAAATTTCTCAGTACATATTGATATTGTTCCTAATTTATTTTCATTAGGTGCATCTAACGAGTGACGATTATTTTTTGGATATTTTCATTGAAACATGCCATTCAAGACACCAATAACCATCCTCCCCGGAGCGATAAGAGAAAAGAGAAAGAAGAAAAATAACAGAAACTTCCCCGTCAGAAATTCAATCCACCAACCTAACTTTCTCTTCTGATAATAACCAAGAAAAGAAAAACCCATGGCCTGCTCCGAAGCCCTGGCAAACCCCCGTGTAAAAACATGGCAGGAGCCAAATGTGGTGGATTAAAAATATGAACAAAGCTTCTTGCCACTCTCTTTATTGTCTCGACACCTATATCCAGGGCAGCAAGAGGCGTGGTTTATGCATTCCTCCCCCATATAGCCACACGAGCCATCAGCACGTTTCTCCTTGCCGAGAGGTGGCATGTCATCGTCCATCTGGGGGCCGGGCAAGGCGTCTCGCTTCTGCGGTAATGTTGGGCTGTTTCTTTTTGTACAGAAACCGCCCTTGGTTTTCTACATATCCCAATATTGTTAATATGTGTGAACATCATTAGATCCGTGGTTTATTCTTCCACCATTCTCTCCTCGTCCGAGAGGGGGGAAATGATATTTATCAATCGATAGGTGCCAGCTACTTACACAGAACCATCCGGAGCATGGGCAACTCTCATCGCTCATGCAATATCGATCTTTACATGTCTGAGACGTGATATCCAACTCGCTCTGAAGCTGCTGCATTCCCTGGATATCGTTGTCACGCTTTTCGAAAGGGGACGGCCCGCATGTCTATCATTCCCATGAAGCCCAGGGCAAATATACGCAGTTAGCCATCAATGCTAAAAAGTCCCTCTCTTACTGTTTTCCCTTTTCTCTCCTCCTATCTTTTCGTGTTCGACTAAGACACGCGGAGGTGTTGGTTACACTTGATTTTACTTACGCCTACATGTTCTCCGAAAGCGAAACCGCACATCAACCCCTTACAGCAATCTCTGGCCGGGTCTGTGTTCCCCATGTAACAAGGCCCACCATCCCCCGAGCAAACTGCTGCCTCCCTCCTATTTTTGGTATCTGACGAGGGAAAGGCGAGGACGCCGAGGCCACTGAGGATGAGGGCGATGACGGAGATCTGGGGTAATTTCATTGTTGGGGACTTCTTGGACGGTGAGTTGTTTGGGATGTTCGGTTGGAAGTGTTTTAATCTGAAACGATTTATATGATTATGTCTGTCTGTCTGTTTGTCCGTCGAGGAAAGCACAGTTCCTCTATGCTTCTTCTTTTGAGTAAGAAGAGACTTGTTCAAAGGGGGGGTCTTCCGGGGGTTTTTTATCTCGCACTCTTTCTGATATCGTCGCCTAACGATATAATAATTTGTGCGTAGATGTCGCTAGGCCAGTTCCACCGATCAAAATGCTCATCCCTTCTAATTTCTGCACGTGTACAGAGTACAGGACATGACATTGCAGAGCGTTGTGATTACCTTCTTCTTTCTTTCTTTCTTCCAGATCGACCAGCTGCATGCCACGATTCCAGGGTACGGCAGCACCGTGTTTATGTATGCGCAGGCTTATTCGCAGCATAACTCCTCTGCATATGCTGGGATGAAGACGCTTCGATGTCCCTTTGATTCTTGCGTACATATAAAGAGTGCTTATTATAGGCCGCCACTTTTTCATTGCTTCAGGGTATACAGCCATTCAGCGAAAATGACCAAAGTGCCAATTGCAGGCGGTAAAGAGATCGACTCACCGCAGCAGACGAGGTGTAGACGACGGACGAGTCTCCCGACTAACTATCTTCGTACTTTCTTGACGCAGTGTAAGCGCGATGCGTATGTACTGTACATGTACTACGCCTATTCGCCGAACGCAACCACACAGCGCTTACTGGGGTAGCATAGCAGGCGATCTCATCTTTGAGAATATAGCGGGGTTCGCAACCGCGAGAGAACAGTGGAGAGATATACTTCAATGCAACACGACTATCTCTACCTCGCGATCCGGCAGATCAATACGGTAGCCCCGAAGTCGATAATCTAAGGAGATCATTCGAAGCAATGCACTTTTTTTCAGTATTTGTTTGTTTTCTCCTATTTTCATTGCGTGACTTTCAATCCCCTTTCTACTCACTCATACGCGCGCAAATCGAAGGGGAATCTACTAATATAATATAATAAACCAACGCAGGAACAACATAAAAGGGGTATCAGGTATTTCAATTTTATTTCTCTCCTATAAATCTGTCAAAATAAAGGGAAAAAGTGAGCCGTCATTTTCATCTAACTTCGTTCAATCCATTTATCCCCCTTTCTCGTCCCCTTCCCGCCTCCCCCTTGTTACCGTCCAAGCCGACTGAACCCAGAAATCATTTGTTATCTCATACCTCTGTCATATTCGAGGCGATTCGCATCTTTTATGCTCATCCCGGCAGACAGATAAGTTCTTTGCCCTGTTGGTTATACGGCACGTCAGTATTCGAACGGATATATGTGTAAGATATAGCCCAGGGCTAAACCTACGCCATCTTGACACTTATATCCACCACAGCATATTTTTTTGGAGCATGATTCACCGAAACCAGCGCATTTCTTTGGTGGCCTCTTGCGTTGTTCTTCAGGGCCCGGTGCTGGAAAGGCGGCGACGACGGTGACAATGGCCATGACCAGAATTGGGAGGAGCTTCATGGTTCACGGTGTAATTGATACCAGTTTGTTGAATCTCTTGGATCCCTAAAATGGTAGGCTGTGTCATGTTTTTGCTATACGGCTTATCAGGAACAGGGGGTGTAGCTATATGTATTTGATATACATGTACTTTTCATTTCTGGAGGAGCATTGAAATGCATTACTTACTTGCTTTTCAAGATATTGCAAGTCTGAGCATAGAAAAACTTAGGAATGGCAATTTCAAAATTTTAAACGAATGCAATATCTAAGGGAAATTGAGAGTCTCTTTATATACTCCCGCCCACCACATCCATCTTCGCTATAATGTTCAAAAGGAGGAAGAGAACTCGAGGAAGGAAAACCCACATCACCACTTGTGCCGAACAATCTGGATTAATTCAGGGACACCTGGCGTAAATAAACTCTGTATAACTGGAACCACTTACGTCAAAAAAGATCTTGTTGCGTTGGTTGATAGAGAGGCATGAAATGCTTCACGATAAAGGATCCATCCCCCTTATTCCCTGAATCCAGTGTACCCACAGCATCACCACCATGGAATCGATCCACTGACGCTCTCTCAATAAAATTCTTCCATTCGTAAAACCCGACCTTGGAGAACCGAAGGTTTGTGAAACAAAAGCTGGAATGCGTCAACAAATCAACTTAAAGCTTCCGCGGATATACATATATATATACATACATATATTTATGTGTCAATAAAAGTCCGCCTGTAGCCAAGCAACTCGCTTTCGGGACGCGTGACGTTCGAAATGTAAAGGCCATGGAATCGCGGCGCATGGCCAATGCTGTAAGAAAACGTTCCATCTTGCCCCCGATATCTCAATCAAATCCAACCAGTTCATCGGCTTTTGCAACCGCCCTCTCTATTTTGTGGTATCTGGGCTGTAGATCTTGTGCTGCGTCAAATCTATAGTGGATAGACATCGAGATCTAGTCGAGTTTCCCTTTGCGGTTCGTGAAACTGCATATATCTCATAGTATTCTTCCCAGAACCAACTTCAAGCCCGCGACTCGTTTTAGGTGGCATGTAGCAAGCCCTCAATTCCAACTCAATATCAAAATTGGGTTGCATGTCCGACGCTGGATATTGTCCTATTCTTGAATGTCCAGGCAAGCTTCCTGCTTTGTGGAAGTCATGAGAGTACGTACACAGCGCAATCACTTACATTAAAGTATGACAGGGACCAGATCAGTGCTTCCACGTTTTGCTTCCAATGGCAAACAGTCCTCCCTGGGAAGACGGCTGTGCAGTCTCGATGAAATCCCTTTCCGCCGTCTCTTGTACCGGCATCGCTACCTCCCCATTCCGGGAGGTAATCGACAAAGGGAAAGACGGATGCCTTATCCATCTATGACTTTTTCGATCATTTCCAGATCTTGATAACTCGTACTCTAATTCGAAAACCCCTTAGCAAGCAAGGTAAGAACTTGCATAGGACAAAGCAATCGGACCCTGCCGCAGCGAAATTCGCGCTTCTACTTGTGCACAATATTCTCCATGCATGAAGCTTTTCGCCGTATCGGCTATACGAAACTCCCACAACTTCTGTGTCCATTTGGAATACATACATTGCGATCTGATATCAAACCGCCCAATTTCCTCAATCAATTACAGACCTCTGGATCAAAACCATGGCCTTCGCAGAGGTAAACACAGGGAGGGCACGAGCAACGTCCCCCCTTTCTTCCTTTCAGCAGCACGGCGTAGTATAGCATAACATACTTGTAGCATAACATGACAAAGAATGGCCGTATCCCCCCCACACACACAAAGGAAGAAAGATGTATAACCGGCGCAATCGTGCGCCGTAAACGTGAGCGTATGAATGATCGCGCATAGCATACTTACTGCTCGCGCGATGCCACTCAATGCCATATGACATCATCGATTCATTTAACTATCAATCTTTTATCACAATACTCACATGTGCGGTGTAATAAATATGCATATCCACAGGCACTCACAACTCACAGCATATTCGGTGAAGCCTAGCGTCGTAGCGTCGGAATCAAACGAGTCGGTCGAGTCAAGTTAGGAATCATAGCGGGTCAAGGAGGGAGACGGGAGAAGGAGGAAAGAAGGTTCGGAAAGAAGAGAGATTCAAATATTCGAAAGTCCAGTAGAGAGACGGGAAGATTTGGAGCGTCATGTAGAAGAAACGTAGCAAAATTTCCCCCAATTATAACTATATCCTTTCTTAATGGTAAAATCAAAATTAGTCTGTATGTATGTGTATAAGACCCGTAGATGGAGTATTTGGCTCAACCCACACCCTAAGAGAAAAGCAAGTACCACCACCACCGACGCAGACACATATAATATGACCAGTCAGGAGAAGAGAGATACTGGAGAATGAAACTATCCGCATAAAACATTTGTCTAAGACGACTAATAATAAGATTTATAACAAGGATAGGAGATATTCCGTTCAGTCAAGTGCCTTAACGAGCATCTTATCAGGTCCAAAGGGGCCAACATGCAAGAACAAATCTATGCAGTCCTTAAGAAGAAAAATAACAGCAGAAAAAAAAAAAGAAAAAAAAGAAAAAAAAAAAAAAAAGAGAAACAGTTTTTGTATTATTACAAGTCTTTTTGAAGTAAAGGAAAGTCAGCCAGCCAAGTCAGCCAGCCAGTCACCTCTTGAGAGAGGGACAAAAAAATTTCAGAGGCCCTCCACAAAATCTCCCACAATTTTCACTTAGAAAATCAAACTGCGTCTCATGAAAAACACAGAGGGGTATTTTTTACTTCTCTTTTGAGCTGAGCTTCAAAGGGCTGGACTGGACAAGGCTGGGCTGCACTAGTTTATGAGATGGAGAGGGGTGGGTGTTTTTCATGAGTTGGCGGGGAGAACGCTAACTGTATTGAGGAAAAAAGGTCTCTATAAAATGTACAAATGGGTGTGTTTTTGGGAGGTCGTCAGGGAAAAGGTATTCTTTTAGGTAAGGATAGGGCGGAGGAGAAGAGGTAGAGGGAGGGGCATTAATCGAGGACGAGAGCTATGGATTTCTTTATTTGGTCTCGTTTTCATGTAGCTAAATTGTGTAAAGGGAGTGAGTATTTGATTAGCATTTGACATCGGGCCAAAAAAAAAAAAAAAAAAAAAAAAAAAAAAAAAAAAAAAAAAAACCACATAAGGGTTGTACAAAAGGAACACGTACGTGATCAGGTCGTTGCGGTCCTTGGCCTTCTTGAGACCACCAAAGGCCATCTTGGTACCGGGAATATACTTCTTGGGGTTTTCGAGGTAGGCGAACTATTTGCCACGAGGCGCGTCAGTTGTGTTCCATACATAAATATATACATATAGATGTAAGCAAAACTAGGGACGAATACATACCAGAGTGTTCTCATCCCATACAACGCCTTTCTGTTTGTTGGCATCGGTGTAGGCGTATCCCTCAACCTGGCCACTCTTGCGGCCAAAAAGTCCGTGCAAGTTGGGACCGATCTTGTTGGCACCACCTTCTTCGAGGGTGTGGCATTGAGCGCAGCGAGTCTACAGTTTATAACACTCCATGTCAGCCGCATTCTACAGATATATAGATGTATAGATGAATGAATAAATTTTTACAAGGGATATGAATCCACGTACCTTGAAGAGACCAGCACCCTTAGCGGCGTCACCTGAACAAGAAGAAAAAGGATATTGATTAGCAGTCTGCAGCAGCTGACGCCCTGCTTGCCGTCTCCTGCGTTCGCGTTCTTCGTTTTCTGCCTCCTGCTCCTCGATTGCGTATGACATCCACACTGCCGCTGTCATTACACTCATGGTTGCTGGTGGTCTGCTTTCTGCGCCTGCTGGAAGGGGAAGGGTGCGGATGGAAAAATTGCTGGCGGATATGCTTGGAGATGTTATGGGGCACAGGAAGGATGTAGTCGTGCAAGACGGAGAGAACAGAAGTGATTGCGCGAGAGGAGAGCTGATTCAAGGAGGGATAAGGCGCGTGGGAAGACATTCCACCAGCACACAAGTGGGTTGTTTTGCTGGTGTGCCGTTGCAGTATGTAGAGAACGTGTGTCTCTGCCTCTTAAGGGCTTTGTAAAGGAGTGCAGGTAAAGCTGTTCAGTGGGTTTATGTTTATGTTTATGTTTTAGGTCTGAGGAGTTCAGGATGTAACGCAGGACAACTGCAACAAACAATGAATGAGGATAAATGGCAGATTTGAGAATGCAGAGATCGAACAACAAACGCCACCAGACAGTGAGACCACCGGCAATATCGTCACCACCACAACCAGAAGCGGCAGGAGGAGAAGACGTCGAACAGGCCGAATTCATTGAAGGAGCTACCGACAAACTCGGGCAGAGGCAAGCGGGATGTGCGAGGAAATAACATACCTGGAGAGAAGCTCATTGTGAATGTGGTGAAAAGAACAGGTCTATGCTAATAATACACGAAAGGAGATAATGTACAGAGAGAGAGAGAGAGAGAGAGAGAGAGAGAGGGAGAGAGGGAGAGAGGGAGTCCTGATCAATTGGGGGTGATATGGTTGTTGGTATAAGGAGAGAGAAAAAAAAGAGAGAGAGACAGAGAGGAAAACAGAAGTACGGAAACCCGGGAGTTGAAGATAGATTTTTTTTTTTCCCGCCCCGTCCCTTTTGGGTGCAAGATTCGACAAGTTCCACCAATTTTGAGGCGCAAACTGGTCGCAGGCTTGGCGATGACGCACTAAACCGCAAACAGGATCCCCAATCGCTTTTCCCCGACCTGTGATTGGTCAGCAGCGCTGATTGGCCAATCAGCTTCCGTGTTATCCGGGTCATCGGGGGATCTCGGAGGTTTAGTCATCTCACCACGTGGATTTCACGTGACATATGCTTGGCGTGCCAAGACGGGTATGGTAGGAAAAGATGACATCAGCGAAATTATCTGCTCCATCGCAAGTTGAGTTGTTGTTGCTTGAAAGAACGGAGTCGATATGATTGATCACGGTCGACTGCCGCTCAAAAGGATATCCAAGTGAGTATCGCCATTTAAGGGAGCAAATACTATACTCATCAGAGTCAAAGTGAGGTCTTGGGGATCTTGTCTGTGAGATATCGAGTGAAAGATAGCCCACTTCAATTCAATATCAATCAATATCTACGAAACCCTCTATTATTCTTTCTTTGCCATCCGCGCACCGATCACTGTTAGTCATCCGAAGGTTATCCATGGTTATGCTGCAGGCGTTTTGATAGGTGCAATATCCATCCTTCGAGAAATTGGTTGTGACATATAGCCAAAGCCAATCCCCCGTTTGATGTTGGTAGTTCTTCCAGCCTCTTTTGATAGAAAACAATATCACCACAGTCCAAGCTACTCAGTAATATCTCTCTCTCTATCTCCATACCCCAACTCCACTGGGAGCTTAAATTAAAAAGAGAGCTATCGTCCGCAGGAACATCCGCAACAATAATAATAATGTTGGACTGGTCTCCGCACCCTTACCTACCCTGGATGGAGGACCACGTGACATCCTCGAAACCCAATTCGAGATCTTCATCGCCAACTTCTTCCTCCTCAACCCAGCAAAAAAGCAAAAATAATACCAAAACCAAAACCACAACCACCACAACCACAACCCTATCCACCACGGCCACCAAATCCCCTCCGTACATCTCGTGCATCACACAATGGCCTCCCAACCTTTGATCCCGCCCTTTCTACTGCCAAGAGGTATCTCAAAACGAACCCTCCTGTTCTTCGCATCCCGCAATGCGCGCCCTCGGCAAGGCTCACTACAAGCACCCCCATCCGGGCTCCGGCTAAAATCTACATCAAAATCAACCAAGCCCTCCGCTGCCCGCGTTCTAGAGAAGCCAGACCGCTTCCGGCCCCCATCCCACCCAGCACGACGAGTGATGAACGCGCGCAGCGCACAGCAGCCGCGCAACTATCCGGGACCCCGTCTCTCCGAGGCGGAGCTGGCAGAGAAGAAGACGAAGCGGTATCCGCACATGTTCCCGCCGGAAGGAACAGTGATGCATAAGTTTCTGACGAGTCGGGGAATTCATGTTTGGATTTCAATGGTGAGTACATACATACATACATACATCTATTCCCGCACAAAACAACCTCCACAAGCAAGCACTCATGCTAAATTTTCACAACGCGAAAAAAAAAAAAAAAAAAAAGTCTGTCCTCCTCTCCCTCGCAACATTCACCTTCTCCACAAATTTCAAACACACCTCGCCCTTCGCGCACCTGCTGCCGCCCTGGTCGCAGCTACTCACACATCCCATCGACACCATCTCGCAGGTGCTGGCGGTCTTGAAGATGCATGCAGATCATCAAACGCTGGAGACGGCGGAGAAGAGGAAGAAGAAGATTGATGATGTGGAGAAGCGGAGGGCGTATAGACAGGCGCATGGGTTGGAGAAGAAGGAGGAAGGGGAGGAGGTGGTGGAGGGAGATGTTGCTACTGCTGCCGCTGCTGATGGGCAGCTTACCGTGGATGGAGTTGATGGCGAGAATGGAGAGGATGGGGTGGTGCGGGAGCGAAGGAGGCCGATTAAGAAGTGGCTGGGTATTTGGTGAGGTGAGGTAATTTGGGTTTTGTGGTTGAATGGGTGGACTAACTGGGCTGTTACGTGGGTCTTGAATAAATCTCATGTTTTGTTGCTGGTCCCTGCGGAGGAGAACTGTATATTATTTATCTGATTTTCATATATCTTCGTACGATACCCGTACTTACTGTGGCATGGTATTACATTTAAATGAATGGGACATGTATACATAGAATAGATTTGTCGTCGGATGGACATCTCTGACCTCTAAGCTCCTTATTTTGCATAGTTAATTATACTGTACTCCCATTATTAGATAAATACCTATATCTCAAAAGCCAACTTAACCATTCCATAGAATCCTTTATAGTTCCTATTATCCTACAAGCACGGGGATATACACATAAAATAACTAACGTAGCCAAATCGAATTATTTACATGATTCACCCGATTTCTCCCTCTATTTTAATCAACCCGATAACGAGGTACGTACAGTACAATAAATGAATCAGGGAATTGAAAATCTATAAAAAAAAAGAAAAAAAAAAAAAAAAGAAAAAAAAAAAAAAAAAAAAAAAAAAAAAAAAAAAAAAAAAAAAAAAAAAAAAAAAACAGGAGAAGTCTGAACACCCCTTAACGCCCGTAAACTAGCCATCCAAGAAACCAAGAGAATTCACCCAACCTCCACCCCCTCCAATCCCTCCATAACCTCCTCTCCAACCCCACCCTTCTTCAGCACCATCTCCACAATCCTCGAAACAACTCCCCTCTTCACCCCGCCCCGCCTCGGCCTCCAAACACCAGCCACATCTTCCCCGGTATCAACCGCTGCCCCCGCCATGGCCACGCTCGTACTCGTCGTCTCATTCTGACCAGCACCACCAGCCGCAAACCCAATCGTCGCTGCGTTTTCTGAATTCGGGATCCCTGGGTTCGTGAGGCGGGAGGGCGGGTCGATAGTGCGGATGGAGAGCAGTTTTAGTGGGTTGCTGGTTGGAGGTCCGTTTTGGTTTTCGGTGGTGGTGGAGGTATCGCGCCCGACGGAGACGGCTAGCACGGCTTCCGCGACGGCAATTTCTTCGCGACTGGGGTCGAAGATTATATTGTCGCCGACGGAGATTACGAGGAGGGTTACCGGGGGCCGGAAGGGGTGGAGGTGTGGTGTTGCCGATGTCGATGTATTTGTTGCTGATGCTGATGCTGCTTTTCTGTGCTGCTGTTGCTTCTGCGGCTGCGACGGGCGTCGCGGGTATAGGTACTCCGCGGCAGCCCAGTCGTCATCGAACATGGGGTCCTCTTCGTCCTTGGAGATGAGGCGGGGTAGCTTTGTGGATAGGAGGGCGAGATGGGTTGTTAGGGAGAGGAGGGGGAGGGGATACGAGAGCGGCGGGGAGAGGAGGAGAATCTATGTAGACGTTAGCATATAAATAAACTATATTGGATGGAACACCACCACAGGACAAGGACGTGGGAAAAAAAAAAAAAAAAAAAAAAGGAGAGCAGTAAAGCAAAATCCTCACATCAATATAAATCCTCCAATGCCACCCGCCATTAATAACCAACCGCCCCTTCAACCCTTGCGGCATCCCTTCACCACCCCCAGAGCCATCCGCATCCCCATCACCCTCCCCAGACCCAGAAACCATCAACGCCTCCCTCATCATCTCCGCCAAAAAAACAGGCAGCGCATCATCATCCCTCAACCCAGGAATCTCAATCGACATCTCCACCCACGAACTCTCCCCGCCCCGCCCCCTGCTCTTTCCGCCCGCTTTGCCCTCTCCTTCCCCCTCCCCCACCACATCGCCCCCCTCCCGATCCAAAACCCCCCCAACAACCGTCCTCTCCACCTCCGCCTTCACCCCCACAATCGCCTGCGTCCCGTCCGCAAACCCGATCCGCGCACTCCCATTGGCGCCCGGCAAAATATCCGTCTCGGCCGTCAGCGGGCGGAACTGCGTTGCGGAGCGCCCATCCGTGCGGACGGGGTTGCGCGGGTACGAGAGGGAGGTGTGCAGGTAGGAGAGCTCGGCGGGGGAGAGGGAGGGGATCTGCGCGGTGGAGGAGGAGTAGGTGCTGGTGGCGGTGGCGGTTGCCATTGTCGTCGTGCGTGTGTGTGTGTGTAAGTGTGTGAGTATGTGTGTGTGCGGCGGTTATGAGGAAACTGCGCGCCTTGCGCTTTGCGCTATGCGCTGCGGGTGGATGGGTGTGTTGTCCCCTGCGCGCGGGACGGAGATATTTAAAATAATTTCTAATGAAACTATAAAAATGTGGTTATTTTTCTCATATAGTCATACAGTTGAATGGGTCTTGTTCTTGATATTAGAGCTGTTTAATGTGTATATCAAAGTAATAGCCCCAAGGTCAATAAAATAGCTGGGCTGTAGATTTTCGTCGAATTGAGTTTGATATTGCGAAGCTTCAGATTTGGAGTTGGAAGAAAGCTCTCTGGTAGCGGAAAATATATTGTTCCGATCTCGATACTTGAACCACGATTCCCTAGGCAAAATAATTATAAGTTGTACATCTGAAAATCTAGCAAGTGATTTGAGCTCAAGGAACTATTTCCATATTTAACAATTTTACACCGTGATCAACAGGGGAGGATGTGACTACTGTAAATGATAATTAAACGTACCCCCACGACACTTCTATAACCAATTAAGTGAGCAGAAATATGGAGAAATGTATATTTGATATTTAAGACATTTATTTCTTGCGTATTCGAACTGTTTATATGAAATTCTATAGGTTTGCTGGAGTGTACTGTACAGAGTGGGCCCCCGGGGGGAGGGAAGAAGGGGAAAAAAAGCGCAAATGAAAATTGAAAAAGTCGGAAACACCGTGTGGGGCAAAAAAAAAAAGGGAAAGGAGAAAAGAAAGAAAAGGAGAGAAACGGGAACGCGAAACACACGGAAAGAAAGGGAAGAGATGAAACAGGAGAACTCGAGCCATTTCTGAATCCCTCTAACCTAACCTAACTTCAACTCAAACCCTTCAACACTAATCAACTCCCAATTTATTTCATGTTCGTATGCGTTCTCCCTTTCCTTTCATACCTTGTTATTGACCAGGGGCTGTGACCAGGTGCTGTAAGGTCGATAACTCTGGAGGATGAAGAGTGGTTAACAGAGACATAACGATCATGAGAAGCGTGAAAAGTGAAAATCAGGTTAGACGGTGGTTGGGTTTGGGTAGGTTGAGTATACGAGAGGCAGGTCAATAAGGAGATGGACTAATGGAAGGTCAACCAAATGAAAAGCAGGAAGAAACAGGGTTTGAGTGAGGTTAGGTATGCTAGGTTAGGATTAAGAGGCGTTCTATAAAATTGAAACAATAAAATAAAATGAAATAGGTGGAAAAAACATAGCATCCATATAAAATGTGGCAGAGGCGGCGATGCTAAAACAAAGTTAAAACTATAGAATGATTGTACATGTAAGAGGGAAGCGAAAGTATAGAAGAAACAGGTAAAAGAAACTAGATAAAACAAAAGAGAGTTAGGAAAGAGGACTGTGCTAGTACGAGCTATTGGCTCGTAGGCGAGGTTGGGGAGAGGGTACGCATCTGGAGTGATACGAGATGACCTAGCTCAAAAATAAGCAAACAGGGGCCACGCCAAAACGGAGATTTAAGGAATGAGAGGAGGAACAACGAAAGAGAGAAAAAAAAACATAGGAGACATCGCGTCTTGCGCGGTCGGGTGGGTTATATATATATGTGAATATATAAAGCGCGTATAAAGAGGAAAGGAGGGAAAGAAGAGTTAAAAAGGGAAAGAAAAGAAAAGAAAAGAAATCGAAGCAAGAAGAGTATTTGTGGTTGTGGGTATTAGAACAAGTACTAGGGTACGTAAAAACAAAATGTAAATGACGTATAAAAAGAATAAATAATAATAAATGCGAAGTCAAAAACAACAAGGCCAGGGTAAAAGTCTCTAATAAAAATATGGCCGGGGGGGTATGAAGTAAGAAAAGGGAAAGCACAGTAAATGATAATAAATTTAAGAAACCCAGCAAAACTCATGGCCGTTTGAGTAAGCAAAAGAAATGGTAGTGCAAATCAGTTGAGTCCCAGTCCAGTAAGAAAGGAAAGATGAGTAAAAAAAAGCCTTAATCCGCCAAAGTGATATCAAGTTGCAATAAGAGCAATAGAGAGCAAATGCTGCTGGTAATAATGTTGAGAGGAGTGGCTGGCGTCGCCCGGTAGAAAAAGGGAAAATTAAAAGGAAATATATGATAAGGCCCTTGGCCTGACGCCAAACCGGAATCACAGTATAAGGCTAAAGCAAAGGAGAGGCGAAGAAATTTATAGCAGAAATTTTAACCCGCAGAGAAGGAGGAATGGCGAAGAAATGAATGGAACCTTGTGGTGTTTGGGAGAGAAGCCGAGAGCGTAGCCGCAATAGCAGAAAAATTTTTAAAAAATAATTAAAGCCATTTATCATCCAGATGAAGGAAAGAAAAACGAAACATTCGTCGGTGAGAGAAATTTACCGGAAAGTAGATCCTGTGGCGGCAAAGATACTTTCTGCGGCAGATTCAGCCCACTGGTGTTCATCGTACGGAGGGGTGGGCCATTGGCGTGTCGAATCGTTGTGCTTGTTGGTGTTGATATCTGGCTTGTTCATTCTCAGTGGCTTCGACGGCGTCAGCGTTTCCGGTCTGAAGAACGCTCCATCACACTTGGCAGAGGGCGAAGGGGTCGGGTACGGATTCGATACAGGGCTGCTAGGATTGATTGCACGGATCGATTGGTAATTTCCCTTCTGGAAGATCTCATCGCGGGTCATATCGTCCATGGTTACTGATCGCTGACCAAGGTGTCTGGCAGCCTTGGTGGTGGAATGGAGAACCTCGTGAAGTAGTTCGTCTTCCTCCTCGGGTGTCTCATATCGATTAACCGGGTGGGTAGAGAGTTGAAGCGCTCGCCGTGTCCGGCTGGAAATCGGACCTGAAGTTGGGTTAGACGTATAATTCTCCGCAGTACGTACATACTGTCCTTGTGGCATCGACTGTCGGTTTGATGGGGTATTATTGGTAGAAGTGGTCGGTGAGGCAAGGTGGGTGGGCAGGCTGGGTGATGAAATATCCAGGCTATATCGCACATTTTGTAGGGCCTTATCCAACTCCGCGAAATCAGCACCAGGCTTTTGGTCCGCAAGATTCACCGAATCTAGGGCCATCGAGGATCGATTTGACCAGGGCACGCATCCAGCATTGGCCTCGACATCGTCGGGGTGGTTGTTATTGTTGTTATTCGACGTTCCTTGGTTCCGGCCAGATAGTCTGCGCGCGCGTTTTCGAAGGTGAGAAAAGAAACTTTCTTTCGTAGCACTCGCGGGGGTTGGTAAGCCCCCGCCGTTAAGTGCTCTCTCTGCTTCTTGCCGATGGATATCTGAGTAATGGTTACCGTTCGAGTTCACAGACAGCTGTCGACCAATCTTCTTGTTGGAATTTTTGCTGTTGTCGACATGATTTGCAGTAGCTCCATCGTTGGCGTGGGATATCCTGGAGTTAGCCTGTGCGGTAACAGCATTAGATAAGGGGG